GAACTTTTATTTTCTAACTTTTAAAATAATGATAATTCCTGATTTTTAAAAACCTGTTTCACAGCATCAACCTCAGGATAAGGTAGCAAAATAAAGCATGAGAAATATTTTTAGAGTGTTATATAATTGTTGCAAATGGCAATATTCTCATAAAATAGTTAAAAAACATAAGCTACTTTTGCTTTGTGTAATTTGATTTCTTATTACCTCAAGGGAACTATGGATTCCCGGGAGAGGGAACTTCCTGAGGGGTCCCTGGTTTGTTCTGAGCTCACAGAAGGAGTCAGGTTTCCCATGGTCACCCTACTTGGTGGCAATTTGAAGTTACATAAGAGAAGAGAGTACAAAGTGCACAGGTAATGCTTCAGTTTGCATTCATTTATCTGTTACACATATTATCTGGACATGGCTCAGAGGTTGAAGGCATGATGGGAAATTGGAAGATGAGTGAAGGAGTGAAGCAAAGCGGGGCGGGGATGGGAGTGGGAAAGTGGATAGAACTGACAGTGTTTAGACTAAGGATTGTGCACAAAGAAAGAAAGTGGGTTCTTGCAGCCCATGGGCATGCAATAGACCAGCTGGGCATGCCTGGTTCCAAATTCCATGCAGTCTAGGATGACCATGATCTGGCTAAGGGTCTTTATCCTGCTGAGTAAATGCAGCTTTGCTGAGTCATATGCATTCATTCATTTGTACAGTCTCAGCCATTCATTCACTAAACATTGATTCAGGGTCAGATGCCGTGTCAGACAATAGAATTACAAAGATGAGCAGGTGATCATTTTAGATCTAGGGGCATTCGGGGTAGAGAAAAGACAAGACAAGGAAGCAAAGATGTGTGCATTGAAATAGAGGTATGTACAATGCCTGTTAATTGGAAGGACTGATGCTGAAGTTGAAACTCCAATACTTTGGCCACCTCATGTGAAGAGTTGACTCATTGGAAAAGACCCTGATGCTGGGAAAGATTGGGGGCAGGAGGAGAAGGGGATGACAGAGGATGAGATGGCTGGATGGCATCACCAACTCGATGGGCATGAGTTTGAGGAAACTCCGGGAGTTGGTGATGGACAGGGAGGCCTGGCGTGCTGTGATTCATGGGGTCACAAAGAGTCGGACACTACTGAGCAACTGAACTGAACTGAACTGAACAATGCCTGATGGAGTACAGTGTGCTCAGAGCAGATCCCAAGCAGGTGACAGTGGATCTTGGGGGATGAGTGGAGACATTCTAATCTAAGTCAAAGAAACAATATCTGTAAAGGCAGGGAGATCAGAAAGAGAGTGACTTAGTATGATTGCCTCCAGGGTGTGGCAAGGGAGCCACGGCAGATGGGACGGGAACGATAAGCAAGGACATCAAAAGAAGCAATTGCACCTGGAACCAGATATACCAGCTTTTGTTCTGGATAATATCATTTGGAACAGATTGGTTAAATTTGAAGTAGGAAAATTTCAGGAAATGTGCAATAACTAATTGTGGGGTTATTAGCATAGTAATTTTAACCTAAAGACAACTGCATTTCTTTATAATGAGACCGAGAACAAGTATTCAGTTAAATATGTATTAGGAAGAGCAGTTTAGGTGCTCGAAACCACCCAGTACTCTGTAGGATGGTTGTAGATAGACTTGACTAACTTATTCCAGTTATGTTCTTTGAATATTATGAGTGTAATAAGAAAAAGAACATAATCTTGTCAAAAGGAGTTCAATGCTGTAGACCAAACAGTGTAAGTCTTCTCCAAGTATGTATGCCTTTTGTCCACTGAGGAAAAGACCCATGCCTTGAAACTGATTTTTTTGATTATCAATGTTAAGAAATTCTCATGGGGTTTCCCTGATGGTCCAATGGTTAAGAATCTGCCTGTCAATGAAGGGAGCATGGATTTCCGGTCCAGGAGGATCTCACATGCCTTGGGGCAGATAAGCCTATGTGCCACAACTGCTGAGCCCCAACTACTGAAGCCAGGGGGCCTTAGAGCCTGTGTGCAGAAACAAGAGAAGACACCAGAATGAGAAGCCTACACACCCCAATAGAGAAAGCTGGCAAGCAGCAATGAAGACCCAGCACAGCCAAAAATAAATAAGTATATAAATATAAATAATAAATAAATAAAACAGCAAATAAATTAAAAAAAAGGAGCTGTCTTGTTTTTCAGACTTGTATTTGTAGTGTTGAACAGCTACAGAAAGAGTGATGTTTTAATTGCCTTTCCTTATGTATTTTTGGTATGTATGTCTTAGTCTATTTGAGCTGCTATAATAGACTACCATAGACTGGATGGTTTATAAGCAACAATTATTTCTCACAATTCTGGAGGCTGGGAAGTCCAAGATCAAGACTGGCTGACTTTGTGTCCGGTGAAAGCCTTTTTCCTGGTTCAGAGACAGCTGTCATTCTCCTGAGTCCTCACATAGCTGCAGGGGAGAGGGAGCTCTTTGGGGTCTTTTTTCTAAAGGCAATGATACCGTTTATGGGCTCTTCCCTCATGACTTAATCAATTCCCAAAGGCCCACCTCCAAATGCCATCACACTGGGGATTAAGTTTCAACATATACATATTGGTGGGAAGGGGACACAAACATTCAGTCTAGAGCAATATCTAAATCAATTTTAATCAAAGCATAGTTCTTCTCTGGTGTGTGACTATCAGATTTTTCTTAAGACATATAGTTGCAACATTTAGAGGAACTCATGTCTGGTACAAAAGAAGAAAGGGAGAGGAGAAACAGTCCTAGAGAAGAAAGAAGGTTCTGGTTGTTGGTAAAGACAGAGAGAAACCAAGTCTTTCATTCATGTTAATTCACTTAGTTAACAGGACATTTACTAAGCCCCACAATGTGCCAAGCATGAGTCTTGATGAGGAGACAGAGATGAAAGCTTGTCCTGCTTGCAAAGAGCTCAAAACCTGGGGTAATGAGAAGTTAATGCCAAAGTATGATAAGTGATTTAAACAGAAGCCATCTCAAAGTGTCACAGGGAAAACACATCTAACTCAGTATTGAGAATGAAGTGTATGAAGGGTTGGGAGGCTTAAAAGGCATCCAAGAGAAGATGCTGATACTTGACTGCTATTGTTGTTCAGTCGCTAAGTGGTGTCTCACTCTTTGTGACCCCATGGACTGTAGCCCACCAGGCTCCTCTGTCCATGGGGTTTCTTAAGCGAGAATATTGGAGCGCATTGCCATTTCCTTCTCCAAAGGATCTTCCGGACACGGGGATTGAAACTTCATCTCCTGCATTGCAGGCAAATTCTTTACCGCTGAGCCACCTGGAGAGCTCCTGATATTTGACTAGACCTTTTAAAAGATTTATTTTATAGTATCTATTTTTGGCCACACTGCAAAGCTTGTGGCATCTTGGTTCTCCAGTCAGGGTTGAACCCAGGTCTTTGGCAGTGGAAGCACAGAGTCCTAACCACTGAACCATCAAGGAATTTCCTTGACATAGATTTTTTTTTAAAACTGCAATTTAAAATTTTTTTTAATGAAATGTTTTAAACATTAGCTGTCATCCAGATTTAACAGATAGTAATAAGGATGTCATTAATCTTCTACACTTTCTACTGTCTAAAATATTTCATAAAACAAAAGTTGGATTCTGTGCCCTGGCAAGATTTTTTCAATGAGATGCTATAAATATTTTGGAGGGAGGTAACGCTTGATGTCTAAACTCTAAATCTAAATAAATCATTTGGATCTGTAATCTCATCTGACCACCACTCCAGGCCCCAGCAGGACAAGTATTTGAAGGCTCATTTTGTAAATTAGGAAAGAGAGGCACAGAGAGAGTAAGTTGATAGGAATAAATGCTGCAAGAACATATAATTTTATTAAAAACACTTATATTTGTCAATTATCTTTCAGAAGCAGCATTAACGGCAGTGGCTTCTGGGCATGAAAAATCCATGAGAGGTATTTTTTTCCTTATTAGAGGAATCATAACAGTGACATTTATGGCATTTATAGCTGATGTGCTATAAAAGTAAGGTGCATTTTAGAACATAAGCTTCTTAGAGCTGTGAGATTGAGATAATAATGCTCATTTCATGAGACTAGAAAATTGAGGCTCATGGAGGCCTTGTCTACCAGTTACACCCGCAGTCGCAGTTCTCTGGTCCTGGAGCCACATTCTTCTCACTCTACTATGTTGCTCATTTTTCATCAACTGGTGCCCAAGGTGTGTTTTCCAACACACATGGACTGAAGGGGCAACAATCTGTGGCTCTGTCATCCCTAGTTTTGGGCTGTAAGACTTGTGCATTGTCGTGAATCCTAAGGTCCGTGCCTTGCAGCAGGTGTGTTCACACACTGCGGCTGCTTGTTCGAGATGCACTTGTGAGCAATTTTATCTCACTCCCTGGCGGGCATTTTTTCTGCCCATTTTTCTTGTTTCCAGTCCTCTTCAGTTTATGGCCCCGAAGCTGTCAGTACTCTGTCCGTCTTTCTTTTTATTTGCTCATTTATGACTGCACTGGGTCTTCATTGCTGGCATGGGCTTTCTCTAGCTGCAGCAAGCAGGTGCTGCTCTCTAGTTTCGCTGCCTGGGGCCTCTCACTGTGGCTCCTCCTGTTTGCAGAGCATGGGCTCTAGGCAGATGGGCTTCAGTAGTTGCGGCATGTGGCCTCAGTAGTTGTGGCCCATGGGCTTAGTTGCTCCGCGGCATGTGGGATCTTCCCAGACCAAGGGTCAAACCCGTATCCTGTGCATTGGCACATAGATTCTAACTCACTGAACCACCAGGAAAGTCCAACAGGTGGCTTCTTAACCGCTGGACCACCAGGAAAGTCCTCGGTCCGTCTTTCTGATCTTTCTTCCAAATTCCTTGCACCAGCGGTTGGCCTAGGGCACCCTGTCCTGTCTTCAACAGGGAAAAGCTGCCCTAAAAAGTTGCCATATCCCAGAAGAAAGTGTGGCTTCCTGAGCTGTTTCTTGGCCAAAGGCTCTTGCTTGTCCAGCTTGGGGCCAGTCCCAGGGCCTGTGGGTTCCAGGAGAGGTGATGAAAGGCTATGACAAATACCTGCCCAGGCAGATGGAGCAAGTGCCAGCCAGCTTGAGAAGGCAGTGTGCTAGCAGTGTCTGCCCTGAGATGATGAGGCTGTACATTCCCTACCTCACCTGCTGGGTGAGGCCTTCACAAGTACCAGCATCTTTGAGGATCTTCACCCCCCAATTCATTAGCAGTTGCCAGTTTGACACCACTGCTGAAAGACTCTAAGTGGAATCCAGAAGAATTAGCTAAGAATAATTCTTGAAAAGCATCCTGATGAAGTAGCCTGGCCCCAGAGAAGGCTACAACACTGGATTCAAGGGTTGGCTCTGATATTGGGATATTACAGAGAACTCTGACTCAGTCTGATTTAAATAAAAGGGAAATGGATTATTTTTCAAAATCAGAAGTAGGGTGAGCTCCAGGCCCTGTGTGATCAGTGGCTCAGTGATGTCACCAAGGAGCCTGAGTTCCTTCCGTCTCCCCACTCCCATCATCTTCAGGGATGGCGACATCCTACCACCAATCCTGCTGGCTGCCCCTCATGTCTCCGAGATTCTTCTCACTAAGGCTGCCAAACGATCAGAGCTAGAGGCTTCCCTGGCCATCACCAGCAGGTGGAAATCTCTCCCAAGTATGGATCATCAATCTTCTGCTTTAGTCTCATCAACTGAACTTAGGTCTCCAGTCTGGACTTAATATGGATTGCCATGAGAAGGCCGTGTTGATGGGCTCAGGCCTGCCTAATCCAGTATGGAAGATACTAGGTTCATGTGGCCACTGGGCACTTGAAATGTGCCCAGTCTGAATTAACACAGGCTCTAAGCATAAAATACTCATCGGATTCCCAAAACTTCTCCCTCTCTGTGTCTCTCTCACACACACACAATTAAAATATTGATTTAATTTTTTAAATATTGACTACGTGTTGATGCTGGGAAAGATTATGGGCAGGAGGAGAAGGGGACGACAGAGGATGAGATGGTTGGATGGCATCACCAACTCAATGGACATGAGTCTGGGTAAACTCTGGGAGTTGGTGATGGACAAGGAGGCCTGGCGTGCTGCAGTTCATGGGGTCACAAAGAATTGGACATGACTGAGAGACTGAACTGAACTGAAAATGTTAACAAGCTTTGGGTTTATTGGGTTAAATAAAATTTATTATTAAAACTAATTTCTCCCTTTTAGTTTTGCTTTCTTAATGTGACTACTAGAAAATTTTAAATTACACAGGCGACTCACTTTATATTTCTGTTGGGTAGTAGTGGCTTAGAAAAAACAAGGGTCTATTTCCAGAACTTCCAGTAGACCATTCAGGTATGACCTAAATCAAATCCCTTACAATAATACAGTGGAAGTGATAAGGGATTAGATCTGATAGACAGAGTGCCTGAAGAACTATGGATGGAGGTTCGTGACCGTGTATAGGAAATGGTGACCAAACCCATCCCTAGGAAGCAGAAATGCAAAAAGGCAGAATGATTGTCTGAGGAGGACTTACAAACAGTTGAGAAAAGAAGAGAAGTGAAAGGCAAGGGAGGAAAGGAAAGATATACCCTTCTGAGTGCAGAGTTCCAAAGAATAGCAAGGAGAGATAAGAAAGCCTTCCTCAGTGATCAGTGCAAAGAAATAGAGGAAAACATAGAATGGGAAAGACTAGAGATCTCTTCAAGAAAATTAGAGATATCAAGGGAACATTTCATGCAAAGATGAGCACAATAAAAGAAATGGTATGGACCTAAAAGAAGCAAAAAATATTAAGAAGAGATGGCAAGAATACACTGAAGAACAATACCCAAAAGATATTAATGACCCAGATAACCACAGTGGTGTGATCACTCACCTAGAGCCAGACATCCTAGAATGCGAAGTCAAGTCAGCCTTAGGAAGATTCACTATGAACAAAGCTAGTGGAGGTGATGGAATTCCAGGTGAGCTACTTCAAATCCTAAAAAATGATGCTGTTAAAGTGCTTCACTCAATATGCTAGCAAATTTGGAAAACTCAGCAGTGGCCACAGGAGTGGAAAAGGTCAGTTTTCACTCTAATCCCAAAGAAAGGCAATGCCAAAGAATGTTCAAACTACTGCACGATTGCACTCATCTCACACGCTAACAAAGTAATGCTCAAAGCTAGGTTTCAACAGTACATGAACCCAAAAATTTCCAGATGTTCAAGCAGGATTTAGAAAAGGCAGAGGAACCAGAGATCAAATTGCCAACATCCGCTGGATCATAGAAAAAGCAAGAGAATTCTAGAAAAACATCTGCTTCACTGACTACGCTAAAACCTTAGACTGTGTGGATCACAACAAACTGTATGAAAATTCTTAAAGAGATGGGAATACCAGACCACCTGAGAAACCTGTGTGTGGATCAAGAAGCAACAATTAGAACCAAACATAGAACAACAAACTGGTTCCAAATTGGGAAAGGAATATGTCAAGGCTGCATATTGTCACCTTGGTTATTTAACTTATATGCAGAGTACATCATGAGAGATGCCAGGCTTAATGAAGCACAGTGGAATCAAGATTGCAGGGAGAAAGAGCAACAACCTCAGATATGGAGATGACACCACTCTTATGGCAGAAAGTGAAGAGGAACTAAAGAGCCTCTTGATGAAGGTGAAAAAGAGAGTGAAAATCTGACTTAAAACTCAACATTCAGAAGACGAAGATCATGGCATCCGGTCCCATCACTTCCTGGCAAATAGATGGGGAAACAATGGAAACAGGGAGAGACTTAATTTTCTTGGGTCCCAAAATCACTGCAGATGGTGACTGCAGCCATGAAATTAAAAGACGCTTGCTTCTTGAAAGAAAAGCTATGACCCACCTAGACAGCATATTAAAAAGCAGAGAGATAACTTTGCTGACAAAGGTCCATCTAGACAAAGCTATGGTTTTTCCAGTAGTCATGTATGGATGTGAGAGCTGAACCATAAAGAAAGCTGAGTGCTGAAGGATTGATGCTTTTGAACTGTGGGGCTGGAGGAGACTCGAGAGTCCCTTGGTCTGCAAGGAGCTCAAACCAGTCAATGGTTAAGGAAATGAGTCCTGAATATTCATTGGAAGGACTGATGCTGAAGCTGAAGCTCTAATACTTTGGCCACGTGATTTGAAGAAATGACCCATTGGAAAAGACCCTGCTGCTGGGAAAGATTGAAGTCAGGAGAAGGGGATGACAGAGGATGAGATGGTTGGATGGCATCACCGACTCGATGGACATGAGTTTGGGTAAACTCTGGGAGTTGGTAATGGACAGGGAGGCCTGGTGTGCTGCAATTCATGGGGTGGCAAAAAGTCAGAAATGACTGAGTGACTGAACTGAACTGAACTAGAACTTCCAGAACTGGAGATGGAAAGATACCTGAATAAGATAGTGGTTCTTTTAGGAGGATGTCTTTTCTTTTTGAAATTTTACATAAATATGTATATAATGTATCTATCTATGTATGTAGATACTTAGCATGGAGGATGAATGAAGAACAAACAATGTAGGGCTATACATTCAGGGAACTATTTATGGGAAAATGTGCTGTGCTAAGTATTGTGGGGGAAAGAAATTGCTGATTGAGCAGGGGAGATAAGATATGTAGGCATGTGAGTGGTGCAGATAATAGCAGCTGTATGATTTCAGACTTTGGAGAGTTTCTGTCTAGTGTGACAATGGAATGCCAGTGTGAGCTGGGCCTTGAGTAGATGGGGTTTCAAAAAAAGAAGGCAGTTGGGGAGAGTTACCTTGGGGGCGTTCTAGGTGGAGGGAAAAGCACAGAGAGAATGCTGAGGCAGGAAAACTTGGACTGGAATTTTAGTTTAGCTGAAACTGAGAGTTAAAGAGAAAGACTGGGTCACACTGCTTCAAAATTTACACTGCTGGGTAAATATTAGCAACAGATTTATTTTAGGATGGCTGGTGAAAACATCTGTTAGAGAGGTATGGGCAGCACTGGAACATATTTTTGCTAACACATCTTTAGCAAATGAGCTTAAGTAAGCCGCTTCACATGTCTATTGCCCTTAGGAAGCATTCGCAGGTCAGATCGGCACAGCTTGGTGCTTGGATTGGTGGACACTGGCACAGACCGCCTGGGTTCTAATTCCACCTGTACAATGTATTAGAGGTGAGATTTTGGACAATTTACCTCACCTCTCTTTGCCTCAGTTTCCCTATTTGTAAAATGTGAAATATAACATTATCCTTACATCCTGGGGTTATTGTGAGGAGTACATGACTTAGATTAAATGAGTTCCTCAGAGCACTCGGCATGCCCATAGTTTGAAATGTGAGTTTGTTAAAAAGACGATTGGTTGAGTATTGTTGACTGCACAGAACTAGGCAACTAGGAAGCTATTGCTAAAATAACTACTTTTTTCCAAATGTGTTTATAGGTAGGTAATAGCCCTGTGTGGGCTTCCCAGGTGGTGCTAGTGGTAAAGAACCTGCCTGCCCACGCAGGAGGCACAAGAGACGTGGGTTCCATCCTGGGGAAGATTCCCTGCAGGAGGGCATGGCAATCCACTCCTGTATTCTTGCCTGGAGAATTCCACGGAGACAGAAGCCTAGTGGGCTACTGTCCAAAGGGTTGCACAGAGTTGAACATGACTAAAGAGACTTAGTAGGCATGCACAATAGTTCTGTGTATATAAAGATAACGCACAAAGAGCATCCCCAGGAAGAAATACCATTGTCAGGTCAGCCTGACAGGGTCAGGCTAGTTCCACATTTCCTGCCACACTTGCTAACCCAGCTTTGCTGATGTCCACAGAAATTGTTGCAGAGTTTACAAATAAATCTCCAAGTATCCAACAAAAGCAGTGCAAAACACACTAATTAGCTGTAAGAGCTCTTAATGAAATAGGTGTCTTTTCAAAATGCAGCACTGAATTGGGCTTTCTTTTCTTTTAAAACTGTGCTTCCACCTGCCTCTCTCCCACCCTCTTTCCTTTTCACTGGGAGTGTGAGGGGTAAGGAGTAGTTTCTGAATTCAGATAAATTGCTCAGATCTCCCAAGGTGAACCTGGCTTGCCCCAGATGGGTTTTCTGCCACTGTTTGGGTGACTCATTAATAGTATCCTTTTCCCTCTCAGAAGTCTGTTTTGTTTGCTTCTGTCTTGATTTTTATTTGTTATTTAAAGAGAAACTCGGGCTTCTCTTGTGGCTCAGCTGATAAAGAATCCGCCTGCAATGCTGGAGACCTGGGTTCAATCCCTGGGTTGGGAAGATCCCCTGGTGAAGGGAAAGGCTACCCACTCCAGTATTCTGGCCTGGAGAATTCCATGGACTATACAGTCCATGGGGTAGAAAAGAGTCAGACACGACTGAGCGACTTTCGATTAAAGAGAAAGTCTGTTTCTTAAGACAGTTTAAAGAGAACTCAGGAAGTAGAAATATGTTATTCAAATTGGTCAACTGAAAATTATATATATTTATGTCACTGTAATCCACTAGGCAATCTGGATATCCTTAGAATATTTGTTAAAAATATAGGTTGTTTGTGCACATTTCAGTCCTGTCCAACTCCTTGTGACCCTATAGACTGTAGCCCACCAGGCTCCTCTGTCCATGAGATTCTCCAGGCAAAAATACTGGAGTTGATTGCCATGCCCTCCTCCAGGGGATCTTCCCGACCCAGAGATGGAACCTGAGGCTCTTACATCTCCTGCATTGGCAGACGGGTTCTTTACCACTAGTGCCACGCCCATATATATATATATGTGTGTGTGTGTGTGTGTGTGTGTGAGTCACTCAGTCGTGTTTGACTCTTTTCAACCCCATGGACTGTAGCCCACCAGGCTCCTCTTATATATAAAACAATTGGGGCTAATAAAAATAAATGGAAAAAAAAATAAAAAAAAAATAAAAAAACAATTGGGGATTTACATGCATTCTATAAAAAGAAAAAAAAATGTATGGCTCATGTCAAGTATCATATGGGTATTTCCCATTTTATGTTTATAGTTTTTAATTTTGTTGTTAACAATTTCCTATCCTTGTGAGATTCTGAGATGACTATTTTTTTTTCAAGCTTTGTGGTAACTGCTAAAGTTCAACTTTGAGCCGATCTATAAAATTTAGCATTTTAGCTCTCTATGACTCTTGTCTGACAGAGTGTGGCATAAATGAGATATTGACACCAGCGGAAATTTTCTGTGTGGGAATACTGAATGCCATTTGATCATTCACTATATTTAAAAAAAGTTTAAATTTATTTTTATTATAGTTTATTTGCGATGTTGTATTAATTACTGCAGTACAGTAAAGTGACTCAGTTATATATGTATACACATTCTTCTTCTTTGACTATTTATTTATTTGACTATGCTGGGTCTTCGTTGACTATGCATGGCCCTCTATCTAGCTGCGCTGTGAGGTTTCTCAGTGCGGGGACTTTGCTTGTTGCCAGGAGTGTGGGCTCTGGGCCCAATGGGCTATGGTAGTTGCGACACACGGCGTCAGTAGTTGCAGCTCTCGGATTCTAGAGCAAGGACTCAGTAATTGTGGGGCTTGGGCTTAGCTGCTCCACAACACGTGGGATCTTCCTGGACCATGGATCAAACCCACACCTCCTGCCTTGGCAGGGGGATTCTTTACCACTGATCCACCAGGGAAGCCCGATATATTCTTCCTAATTCTTTTCCATTATGGTTTATCGCAGGATAATGAATATAGTTTCCTGTGTTGTAAGGTAGGAGGACCTTGTTGCTTACCCATTCTATATACACCAGTTTGTATCTGCTAATCCCAAACTTCCAATCCACCCCTCTCCCTCCCCTCACCCCCTTGGCAACCACCAGTCTATTCTTCACGTGTCTTATTCTGTTTCCTAGATAGGTTCATTTGTATCATATTTTAAAATGTATTTTCCTTTTTGCCTCGGTGGCATGGCTTGTAGGATTCAAGTTCCCCAACCAGGGATCTAACCTGCGGCCCCTGCAGTGGAAGGAATCCTAACCACCAGACTACCTCCAGGGACTATCCCACGTGTCATATTTAAGATTCTATATATATAAGTGATAGCATATGGTACTTATCTTTCCCTTTCTGACTTCCTTCACTTAGTATGATAATCTCTGCTTGCATCTCTTACAATTCTTGGTTTCGGATACTAAACCATACAGAAATCTCAGAGAGGGACTCATATACGAGGGTATCCGAGAGGTGTTCTTGGAAGCTGGGAGGGAGATTTTAGGGGAGCAAGGTATGGATTGGTAGGCAGCCTGGGCTTCTGGGCTGGCAGGAAGCCGTCCTGAGCAGAGCGCAGAGTGCCGGCCAGCGCGGGTGGAACGCGGAAGTGGTCCAACCCCCACTTCCCGCCCCCCCAAGCTCGATCCGCACACCCCCTTTCCTGAATCTTCGCCCCAAAGCGCAGCACCGCCTCTGGGACCTCCGGCTGCTCCCAGGCTAGTGGGGCCGGGGCGACCCGGGCTGCAGCCGCTTGGGGTGCCCCGGCGGCTGGGGAATGGGAAGATGTGAGCCCGGCCGCCCGGGGCCCTGCTGGAGCTCCGCCGGGACGCTCGGAGCGCCTGCCCCGGCCCGCAACGCTTTTCTTCCTGCGCATCGGCAAGCTGGCCGAGGGCAGAAATAGGGATATGAAACATCTTCTACTGATTTTCGACTCTTGGCGGCAGCTGCCATATTCCTCGAGAGTCACTGAGTCCCAGACAAGATACTCCAAGCTCAACACATTTGTAATAGACGACGGCTTTTTTTTTTTTTCTTTCCAGAAAAGAGCTCCTCACCACCGGGCCCGGAACCAGCTCCTTCCCCGAGACCGCGTTCCCGCCTTAGGGCAAGTTCTTCCCTTCGAGATCCGAGCCTTGCGCCCGGACGCTGAGGCTGTGGTGTGGGTTCTTTTCAGGATAGTTTTTGGTGGGTGAAGAGAACATGAGGGTCCTGCCCACCCCCCGGGGGGAACGGGAGTAGATTTGGGGGGTGAGGGGTCTCCAGGCGTCTTTCTCCCGCCACGATGACCCTGGCTTTTGGGAATACGGTCCCACGACTACTGTGGGTTTTACGAAGTATCATCAGTGGACAGTAATCTGAAAAGTTAATTCTGCACTTTAGGCTAAAAAAGAAAAAGAGGATTAAGTAACAGTCACTTTTTTTTTTTTCTTTTTTAAGCGTTCGGGGTGCCCGGAGCCCAGTCCTGAGGCCCCGCTGTGACTTTCCATTGTTGGCGCCGCCCGCGCCGGCGGGCGGCCGGGGCTGAGTCATTCCGAATTCTTCTCTTTACGTTTTCTCTCCGCGAGCGCGGGGATGGCTGCTCTAAGAGTCATCTTCCTTGCTCAGACAAAAGAAATCTAGCCTTTGATGGTTCTGATTCACGAGTCCGCTAAAATATGAGTCAAACTCCAGTTTCCTGAGAGCTGGAAATATCTGCTCCGCCCCACCCTAACGGGGAGCGCCCACAGTTCCCGTTTCGCCACCCAGTGGCTCAAATCTGGAGCACTTCTTTGGTGTCCAGGCAAACCGATCCGCGCGCCGCTAAGTGGTTTTCAGGGCAGTGAAACTGCAGCGGAGTCCAAGCTTCTGAAGAGAGGTGCGTGTATGTGTGTGTGTATGCTTTTAATAATCAGTTCTTTAAAACTATGAAATTGTTAGAGTGAAAATGATGGACCTTATCCCGGGATAGGGAGCGAAGAAGATTCCTGAACTGAACGGCAGCCTCCGCGGTATCCTGTTTTATTTTTGGCAAGTGAATATGGGTCGTTTGGCAAGGCCTGTGGCTGACAGGAATATCAACAAGGGCCACTTTGTAGGCCACAGAAGCCACTTTACGCCCAGGGTGAGGTGTAATGTTTGACAGTGGTGATGCTGGTGGCGGCGGGGGGTGGGGGTGGGGGGACGTGGAACTTTCCAGCCAGGAGCTCCAGGGCCAGCGGCTCTGAGTTTGGTTTTGGAAAGACAGGGGGACAGGGGGGGACAGGGTATCAGTTCCGGGGCTGACACTGCGGTTTTCTTTTTGTTTTTCTTTTTAAAAAAATATGTTTTTTCCTGATTAAACAATCTTTATTTTCAAAAATTTTAAATAAATAAAAATGCTCAAAGGAGGAAAAAAATAATTACCTGTCCAGAAATAACCTCTGTTAACATTTTGATGTGTGTGTGTTCAGTTTTTTTTTCTATGCCTATTTTATTTAAACAAAAATGGAACTGCTATATTCAACAGAAATGAAAATATATGCACCCCCCCCCCAAACCACCGTGCATGAATGTTCATAGCAACATTATTCCTAACTGCTAACAAGTGAAGAGAATTCAGCTGATGACTGGATAACAAAAAGTGATCTATCCGTTTAATGGAATATTATTTGGGACTGAAAAGAATGAAATGTGGATGCATGCTGCAACGTGGATGAACTTTGAAAGCATTATGCTAAAAAGCCAGACACACAGACAGCACATTAGAGACAGAAACTGGATTAGTGGCTGGCAGGGACTGGAGATGGGGGAGATGGAGTTTCCTTTTGGGCTGATGAAATGTTCTGGAATTAAATATGTGATGGGCACACCGCTCTGTAATGTACTAACAACTATTGAACTGTGCACTTTAAGAAAGATGAATTTTATGGTGTGTGAATTATATCTCAAAAATCTGTTATTAAACAAAAGTAAATGGAATCACACTATACCTCATATTATGAACATTTCCCTAATATTCCAAAAGACTACTCTTCTTAATATTTTTATTTTTAATTATCAAAGTAATGCACAGTTATTCTAAAAAAAAATTAAAGAATGCAGAAGAAGAGTGAACAGAAGAAAGTGAAGTATTTCTCCCCCAGCCCATCTTCAACACCTTCATAGTACCTGCTTAAAAATTATTTTTGTCTAATACTCTTCTGTTTATAGAACCTTAGGTTCGGGGCAAGCCCAGTGCTTTTATTTTCAATTTTAATTTTCTTCTCTCTAATTCTGCTTTCATTTTCCTCCCCTGTGTCACCACTCACTCTGTGATCCTTATATGTTCTACATTATGCAAGTATCTCTGGAAAATATCACATTTTGGTATGGGTTTTTAATGTTTAGAAGTGGTTATTGTGCTATTAAATCTTCTTATGCAACACTTTCTGAGGTCTCTGCATGTTCTTGGGTGATATTATTCCTCAGTGAAATTCACAACATTTTATTTAGCTATTTCCCTAATGAGCTGGCTCACCTCCAGCTCTGTCACAAGGAGCAGTGTGGTGTATACATTCCCTTCAGGACTTGAGCAAGAATTACTCTGGTACAAATACTCTGATGTGGGGCAGTGTACTGGGGCAAAGGACATATTCTTATTTAAATGCAATCATTTTGCTTTCTGGAATGGATACACCAGTTTATAGTCCCTTCTCCCTGTGGACAGTAATTTCCACCTCCTCACATCCTTTGCCAACACTTGATGGCATCAAACTTTCTAATTTTTATTAATTTGATGGTTTGAAAGGAATATCTTAATTTGCATTTCTTTTTGTTTCTATTAATTACAAGGGAATTCATTTACTTTTTATTTATTTATTTTTCCATTTTTTAAAAAAATGACTTTTTTTTTTTTTTAAGAGTTATTTATTTCATTTTTGGCTGCACTGGGTCTTTGTTGCTGCTCAAGGGCTTTCTCTAGTTGCGGCCGTTGGGGGCTACTCTTGGTTGCAGTGCGTGGGCTTCTCATACGTGGCTTCTGTTGTGGAACACAGACTCAAGGGCTTACAGGCTTCAGTAGTTGCAACTCTCGGGCTTAGTAGTTGTGGCACATTGGGGCTTGGTTGAATTCTCTGCAACATGTGGAAACTTTCCCGATCCGGGATGGAGCCTGTGTCCCTTGCATTGGCAGGAGGATTCTTATCCTCTCTACCACTAGGGAAGTCTTTTATGTGTTTATTTTAAAAAATATTTACCTGTTTGGCTGTGCTGAGTTAGCTGCTGCACTCAGGATTTTTAGTTGAATGCTTAGTTGTGGCATGTGGGATCTAGTTCCCTGACCGGGGATGGAACCCAGGCCCCTGGCATTGGGGGTGCAAAGTCTTAGCCACTGGACCACCTGGCTGGACCACTGGACCAGTCTCTACAAGGGAATTTAATCAGCTCTTCATATACTTCTTTGACATCTTGTCTTCTATTAAGTGAATTGCCTATTCAGTGCTCATTTTTCTGTTGGGTTTTCTCACTTTTTCTTGTTGATCTGTAGGAGCTCTTTGAGTATTCTAGATATTAATCTCTTCTATGGACAAGATGTTGCAATCTCCTCTACTCCAGTATCTGTTAACTTTGTTTGGTATGTAAAGAAAGAAGTACTTGATGTAGTGAAAACCATTTAATTTTACTCCTAGGGACTTCCCTGGTGGTCCAGTAGCTAAGGCTCTGAGCTTCCAGTTCAGGGGGCCCAGGTTCAATCCTTGGTCAGGAAACTAGATCCCACATGCCGCAACTAAAGATTCTGCATGCCACGATTAACAAGATCCCATGTGCCTCACCTAAAACACAGCACAGCCAAACAAGTAAATGATTAAAAAAAAAAGATAATTTTTCCCCGTTCCTAAATGCTAAAGATATTTTCCAGTATTTTTTCTTTTCACTAATTTTATCTTACTACTATTAACAGATCTTTTCCCATATATATATCAACACATCCATAATTTATTTCTTAACAAAATTATAATAAGATAATGTGTTTTGTTAGATAGCTCTTTTTCATCTTCAAACAAATTATATGGACATTTTCCTATGTCTCTATTTCAGCATGCTTACTTTTTTTTTTTTTTTTTTTATTAGTTGGAGGCAAATTACTTTACATCATTACAGTAGTTTTTGTATACATTGAAATGAATTAGCCATGGATTTACATGTATTCCCAATCCCAGTCCCCCCTCCCACCTCCCTCTCCACCCGATCCCTCTGGGTCTTCCCAGTGCACCAGGCCCGAGCACTTGTCTCATGTACCCAACCTGAGCTGGTTATCCGTTTCACCCTAGATAATATACATGTTTCAATGCTGTTCTCCTGAAACATCCCACCCTCTCCTTCTCCCAGAGTCCACAAGTCTGTTCCATACATCTGAGTCTCTTTTTCTGTTTTGCATATAGGGTTATCGTTACCATCTTTCTAAAGTCCATATATATGTGTTAGTATATTGTAATGGTCTTTATCTTTCTGGCTTACTTCGCTCTGTATAATGGGCTCCAGTTTCATCCATCTCATTAGAACTGATTCAAATGAATTCTTTTTAATGGCTGAGTAGTATTCCATGGTGTATATGTACCACAGCTTCCTCATCCATTCGTCTGCTGATGGGCATCTGGGTTGCTTCCATGTCCTGGCTATTATAAACAGTGCTGCGATGAACATTGGGGTGCACGTGTCTCTTTCAGATCTGGTTTCCTTGGTGTGTATGCCCAGAAGTGGTATTGCTGGGTCATATGGCAGTTCTATTTCCAGCTTTTTAAGAAATCTCCACACTGTTTTCCATAGTGGCTGTACTAATTTGCATTCCCACCAACAGTGTAACTTACTTTTTAATGGTATTCTCTTATATGAATGTACCATAACTTCCTTAACAATTTCCTTACTGATGAAAAACTGACAATAGTCTAAAAAATGCTTGGTGCTTGTTCAAGTACTTTTTAGGCTAGATTACCATAGGCAGACTTTCTGGTTTAATGAATATGTTTAATTTTGACTTACTACCAAATTACTCTCCAAAAATGTTGTAATGACTTGTATTTCCATTGACAGTGTTCAAACACAGTTTGTTGTTGCAGTAGTTGTTATATAAATTAACTCTTTTATTATAGGCTGGTGATGTTTCCAATGGTGTTGCTTCTACTGTTCTCTCAGTTCCTTTAGTCTCTAAGGCGACTTCCCTGTGAGGGCACCAGGGGTGGTGTGGTCCAGGTACCGCCAGCCTCCGTTTTCATGCATGAGCTGCAGCTTTCCTCTTCATCTTGGTTTTGCCACAGAAGGAGCAACTGACCTTGGTGTGCAGGCTGATTTTCTTCACTATCTTCCTGCAGGAAGTACTATGTCAACATTGTCCTGAACCGACAGTGGTCCTGACCTTCCTGGTACAGTTAGCCATATCACCTCAAATTAGGTCCAAGCCCAGAGGGGAACCAAACATGATTTTTTTAAATTAACTTAATTTTTATTTTATATTGGAGTACAGTTGATTTACAATGTTGTGTTAGTTTCAGGTGTATAGAAAAGTGGTTCAGTTGTACATATGCATATATCCATTCTTTCTCAGATTCTTTTCCCATATAAGTCATTAAAGAATATCAAATAGAGTTTCTTGTGCTATATTGTAGGTTCTTGTTGATTATCTATTTTATAGTAGTGTGCATTTGTTAATCTCAGACTCCTAATTTATCCCTCCCCTGCCACCTTTTGAAACCTTTTGGTAACCATATGTTTATTTTCGAAATCTGTAAGTCTGTTGTAAATAAGTTTATCTGTATCATTTTTTAGGTTCCAAATATAAGCAATGTTTGTCTTTGTCTGACTTTCTTCACTTAGTTTGATAATTTTTAGGTCCATATATGTTGCTGCAAATGGTATTATTTCATTCTTTTTATGGCTGAGTAATATTCCATTGTTGACTTCCCTGGTGGCTCAGTGGTAAAGAATCCACCTGCAGTGAAGGAAATATGGGTTTGATCACTGGGTCGGAGAGATCCCCCGGAGAAGGAAATGGCAACCCACTCCAGTATTCTTGCCTGAGAAATCCCATGGACAGAGGAGCCTGGCGGGCTATAGTCTGTGGGGTCACAAAAAGGTCAGTCATGACTTAGCAACTACATGTCAACAAAAACAGTATTCCACTGTATATATGTACCACATCTTTTTTATCCATTCTTCTGTTGATGGACATTTAGATTGCTTCCATGTCTTGGTTATTGTATACAGTGCTGCAGTGAACATCGGGGGGCATGTATCTTTTCAAATTACGGTTTTCTGCAGATATATGTCCAGGAATAGGATTGCTGCATCATTTGGTAGCTCTATTTTTAGTTTTTTAAGGAGCCTCCATATTGTTTTTCATAGTGGCTGTACCAATTTGCATTCCCACCAACAGTTTAAGAGGGTGCTGTTTTCTCCACACCCTCTCCAGCACTTACTGTTTGTAAACTTTTTGTTGATGGCCATTCTGACTGGTGTGAGATGACACCTCATTGTAGTTTTGATTTGCATTTCTCTTATAATTAGTGATGTTGAGCACTTTTTCTTGTGCTTTTTAACCATCTATATGTCCTCTTTGGAGAAATATCTATTTAGATCTTCAACCTATTTTTTGACTGGCTTGTTTGTTTTTCTGATATTGAGCTGCATGAGCTGTTTAAACAAAATATACATTTTGGAGATTAATCCCCTGTTGGTTTCTTCATTTGCAAATATATTCTCCCATAAAGTTTAATTAGGTACCATTTGCTTATTTTTGTTTTTATTTTCATTATTCTAGGAGGTGAACTTGGGCAAACTCCGGGAGATGGTGACGGACTGGGATGCCTGGTGAGCTGTAGGCCATGGGGTTGCAAAGAGTCAGACACCACTGGGCGACTGAACAAAAAAGGAGGTGGGTTCAGAAAGATATTGCTGTGATTTGTGTCAGAGACTTTTCTGCCTATGTTTTCCTCTAAGAGTATTATAGTCTTTGGTCTTATATTTAGGTCTTTAATCCATTTTGAGTTTATTTTTGTATAAATTATAAACTAGAGAATGTTCTAATTTCATTCTTTTATATGTAACTGTCTAGTTTTCCCAGCACCACTTATTGAAGAGACTTCAATATTATTCTTGTCTCCTTTGTCGTAGATTAATTGAGAATACGTGTATGGGCTTGTTTGGGGGCTTCCTATTCTGTTCCACTGGTCTTTGTGCCAATACCACACTGCTTTACCTTAATTGTATAGTCTGAAGTCAAGGAGTCTGACTTCTCAAGTTTCCTATTTTCTTTCTCAGGGTTGCTTTGAGCTCCTCAGACATGGATGGTGGGCTCTAACCATCACCCATCTTTGCTGATAGCAAGAATGGTAGCTGCAGAATCACTATTGGTATGCTTGGCTCTTCTGTTCCTTCCCCTTTTTAAATGTTTTCTATTTCAGGAATAGAAATGAATGATTATTTTTTCCATAGAAGCAACTGAATCATATCAACATGCATAGGTTTCTAGAAAACATTAAAAAGATTCATACTGCTATAGAATAAACATAGACTAGTTCAGTTCAGTTCAGTCACTCAGTTGTTTCTGACTCTTTGGGACCCCATGAATCGCAGCGCGCCAGGCCTCCCTGTCCATCACCAACTCCTGGAGTTTACTCAAACTCACACCCATCGAGTTGGTGATGCCATCCAGCCATCTCATCCTCTGTTGTCCCCTTCTCCTCCTGTCCCCAATCCCTCCCAGCATCAGGTCTTTTCCAATGAGTCAGTTCTTCGCATCTGGTGGCCAAAGTATTGGAGTTTCAGCTTCAACATCAGTCCTTCCAATGGACACCCAGGACTGATTTCCTTTAGGATGGACTGGTTGGATCTCCTTGCAGTCCAAGGGACTCTCAAGAGTCTTCTCCAACACCACAGTTCAAAAGCATCAATTCTTCAGCGCTCACTTTCTTCAGAGTCCAACTCTCACATCCATACATGACCACTGGAAAAACCATAGCCTTGACTAGACAGACCTCTGTTGGCAAAGTAATGTCTCTGCTTTTTAATATGCTATCTAGGTTGGTCAAAACTTTCCTTCCAAGGAGTAAGCGTCTTTTAATTTCATGGCTGTAATCACCATCTGCAGTGATTTTGGAGCCCAAAAAAATAAAGTCAGCCACTGTTTCCACTGTTTCCCCATCTATTTCCCATGAGGTGATGGGACCAGGTGCCATGACCTTAGTTTTCCGAATGTTGAGCTTTAAGCCAACTTTTTCACTCTCCTGTTTCACTTTCATCAAGAAGCTTTTTAGTTCCTCTTCACTCTCTGCCATAAGGGTGGTGTTATCTGCATATCTGAGGTTATTAATATTTCTCCCGGCAATCTTGATTCCAGCCTGTGCTTCTTCCAGCCCAGCGTTTCTCATGATGTAGTCTGCATATAAGTTAAATAAGAAGGGTGACAATATACAGCCTTAACGTACTCCTTTTCCTATTTGGAACCAGTCTGTTGTTCCATGTCCAGTTCCTAATATCATACATGGAGCTGAGATAGTGATACAAAATTCCCAACTCAATGTAGTAGTTTGAGTCAATGGGCTTATTTGGTTGAAGTTGGCACGGGGAGCCAAGATTGCTGGTGGGGTCCCTGTAAGCCACAAAAACCTCTTCATTATCAGAGCACATATCTTGGATCCCAGCTTTAAGTCTTGTTGCCTGCATATTCGGGGGTATATCTGTGGATACTAAGTGAGGTAATCTATATGACAGTGGTATACACATGCTGTCACCTATCGTATGCTCATGTAGCTGATGATGATCAAAAAGAGACCTCTGTGAATGCCCTGCTGCTAATGACAGAACAGATCAAAGCACAGCAGACACCTAAAGTAACTTTGTTGTGGAAAAAAAAAAAGTGCACTATTATACATATTGGGCTTCACAGGTGGTGCTAGTGGTAAAGAATCTGCCTGTCAATGCAGGAGACACAAGAGACACCAGTTCGATCCCAGGGTCAGGAAGATCCCCTTGAAGTGGGCATGGCAACCCATTCCAGTATTCTTGTCTGGAGAATCTCCATGGACAGAGAAGCCTGGAAGGCTACAGTCCTTAGGGTCACAGAGTCAGACACGATAGAAATGCCTTAGCATGCACGCACATCATAGATATTGTATAGGTAATTTGTATAATATACCGATTGGAATTTCCTCTGACAGCATCCCAATACTTTTCACAAACAGTTCTTGAGCATTAAAAGGACCAGGCTGTATATCCTATCTCGATCACTTTCAGTCTCAACCAAACTTCTGTGGGGAGCTCACGTTTCAGGCTGTGGAGCGAAGGTGAAATTGTGAAATGCTCAAAGTGAGGGGCTATTAATGGCTCTAATGCAACATGAGGCCAGTATGCACTTGATCCCCGAGAGGCAGTGACCCTCGAAGGGCTAGCATATTTCAGTGGTTTCTGCTGAAGAGAGCATGACAGGAAGAGACTTAACACAGTGTTTAGGACAGAAGGGGGATTCCCTGTCCCAGGTGCAGCCGATCACACAGGGAGACTGTGTGAGAGGAAACGACTACTTTTCTAGCTCAGTTGTGCAATGTGGCTTCTCACCGAGAGGCACAGGACTGGCAGGGCCAGAGGTCAGCTTCCTCCTCCCCCCACATCAAGGTAAAGTGAAAGTAAGCTGGCACTCGGGAAACTACTAGTGTTCTTCCTCATCAAGGCACGCGGAAAAGGGTGGCAGGAGACTGGGTTACATTTCATTTGGTTTCAGTACTTCCCGTACTCAAAGCTTGCCATAGCAGACACAGCTCCAAGAAATTACTTTCTGTGTCACCCTCTGAAAGCACAAACTTTTAGGACTTCCCTGGTGGTTCAGATGGTAAGGTGTCTCCTTGGAGACCTGGGTTCAATCCCTGGGTCGGGAAGATCTCCTGGAGAAGGAAATGGCAACCCACTCCAGTACGGAAGAGGGTGGCAGGAAAATTTTTCATTTGGTTTCACTACTTCCTGTATTCAAAGCTTGCTATAGCAGAGCTCCAAGAAATTACTTTCTGTGTTACCGTCTTAAAGCACAAACTTTTATACCTGGCGTTTCTTATGGTTGCTCTAAAAGACAGAGGCATCTGAAAAGGCGTTGTGATCCACTTTACATTTCTATGAAAAAGATTATTTATTTTTTAAACGGAAATTAGACGTTCACCTCATATCTAATCATCTGAGGCAGTAACATGCTTTTCCTGAGAGGAAGAGGAACCAGGTCGTTTCCTATAGGGCTCTTCCTGCCTTTAAATTTAAATACTTGACCACTATTTTTCTGTTGGGGCAATTTTATTTAACAGTGATAAACTTCCCTCAGAGAAATCATTTACTTTGCAATAGGATCTAAATTCAAACATCTCTGATTTCTTGATAATGAAGCAAAGGCTGAAGTAGGAAGGACATTACAATGGTTAATACAAACTGCTGACTCCAGCGTTGCCTCTGTTTCTTTCATAACTCGGCTTCCCGAGGGCAGCGGGCATGCTTGTTTGCCCTGGATTTGATTGTTAGGTGGATAATGACAATCTCCATGGGAGGTTTCCAAGGCTGGACCCTATGAAGGAAAAGGTTTGATAAATCAGAATGTGAACTCCATGGGAGAAGGGGTTCGCCCTTTTCACACTGTATTGCAGGTACAAGAACAAGCCCAGCACCTGATGAATGTGTGGAAAATACTAGCTGTATAACTGGGAGGAGAATTACTTAGCCTATATCAGACTGAGCTATTCTCAAATACTTTCAAAACCATTCACCAATGACTGCCACTTATACTTACTTTGAGGTTAGCATATCCTTTCTGCATTGAGTGTTACATTTATTCAGTTTCTTTTTTGAGAAGAAAACAGTCTATTGAAAAAATAATATATGAGTTAAAAAAAATCAATACATTTAACAAAGGGTTATTTACTAAGTATTCGCTAAACAACTAAAATGTTGCTGTTCAGTCTCCCCAGCTCTTTGCCACCCCATGGTCTGCAGCATGCTGGTTAAAGGAATTGTTGGGCAGGCAAAGGGAAGTGGGGTGGGAGGGTCTCACCCTGTGGGAGCATCCTGGGCTGGGAAATGGGGTGTACTTGGACTAATAACCAAGCACAGGTGGGAAGTCAGACAGAAGCGGTTCAGACTAAAAGCAGTGAGGTTACTTATCTATTCCAGGTAGAAACAAAAGCTGCAAAGAGCTTATTTGGGAAATGGCAAAAGAGATTAAAAAAAAAAAATTCCAGGGTCTTAGAAAGACTGGAGTGGAAAATACAGGTGGTTAGTTATAAATGGGGTTGAGGGTGAGGTGGGAGATGAGGGAGGAGGGAGAATAACAAATGGCTTCAAGCCTGAGCCTCAGTGACGGGGAGCTGAAGCTCCTAACAGGAGTGAGCATCGTGATGATGACGGGATGGTTGTTTACTGGGGGCATGGGGTGGGGGAGTGAGGCTGGATTTAGACTGCTCAGGTGAAGTGGAGACAGCTCACTGCGGATGTCCACTAGGCGGTGAAAAGCCTGGTGGGGATTACACAGTAGCTGGAGTAACAGGTGTCTTGTTTTTTATTTTATTTTATTTTATTTTTTTTTTTGTTGGTCTTTGTTTCTTTTTTTTTTTTAATTTTTTTTTCCATTTATTTTTATTAGTTGGAGGCTAATTACTTTACATCATTAAAGTAGTTTTTGTCATACATTGAAATGAATTAGCCATGGATTTACATGTATGGTGTCTTGTTTTTTAAAGTGATGATTTTATGTGACTAGGTTACACTGTTGCATTTCATAAGCTGAAAATGAATCTCCTTTCCACCTCCCCACCCTGTAGACTACCTTTTCTCTACAGAAGGAACTACTGTTTCCAGTCTCTTGAATATCATTCTAGAAATATGTGTATATATCTATATCTATCTGAAAGTGAAAAGTGAAAGTGTTAGTCGCTCAGTTGTGTTTGACTCTTTGCGACCCCCTGGACTGTAGCCCGCCAGGCTCCTCTGTCCATGGGATTCTCCAGGCAAGAATACTGGATTGGCTTGCCATTTCCTTCTCCAGGGGATCTTCCCGACCCAGCCATTGAACCCGGGTCTCTTGCATTGCAGGCAGATTCTTTACTGTCTGAGCTACCAGGGAAGCCCTGTGTATCTATCATCTGCCTATTATTGTGCCAAGCAGGACTGCCCGCAGGATCTTAGTTCCCTAAACAAGGACTGAACCCCAGCCCCTGGCAGTGAAAGCTGGACCATTTTTATGTCCCTGGGAGAGTTTGGTATTTTTTAAAGTATTTATTTATTTGGCCAGGTCTTAGTTGGGGCACATGGGATCTTTAATCTTTGTTGGGACATGTGGGATCTAGTTCCCTGAGTAGGGATCACACTCCGGCCCCTAGCATTGTGAGTGCAGAGTCTTAGCCACTGGACCACCAGCGAAGTCCCTGCTTTTTGTTTTTTAAAGGCTAGAGAAGGCTTTTGTGTGTCTTTGAGACAAAAGGGAAAGAACAAGAAGACAGGTAGAGACTGAGGAAGCAAATTAAAGAAGAATTACTGAAGCAAGGTCCAGTGAAGTTGGAGAAGATATAATCACTGATGCAAGCACGTTTTAGTGGGAAGAGTTGACTCTTTTGAGAGCAGGAAGGGCAGGCTGATGGCCATAGGGGTTTGTGATGCTGCATCACTCAGAGGACCTAAGTATCCTGCCCAGGTGGTGGTAGAGATGCATGCAGAGGTCGACAGTGGTTTGAGGAAGACAGCAGGAAAGATGTAAAACAGCCACTGTGGATACTAGAAGATATCATAGAACTGTCGGATCCAAAAAAAAAAAAAAAAATCATTCCAAAAAGGTTTATTTTGATGATTTATAAAAGAAATATCACCATAGCATCTTAAAGCTATTTACAGATTTAAACATTAATTTACAGAATGTATACACATCATATTACATTAAATAGCTTTAGTTAAAATGTTACAGGTAGTGTTGAACATACACAACGAAACATAAATCAAGTTCTAAATCACATAAATACCCTCAAAGCATGCTCAAAACCACTGGAGGATGGTCCAGGAAAAACTAGAAAAATAAAATTTCAGAAACCAGCACTAAAGATGATTACACCACTGGTTGCAGGTGATATGGAAGTAGAAATCACTTTAACCTTGAACTGCAACCAGACACTTAGGTGTAAGACAGACAGGAAAAAAAAAGTGAAAATGTTTTTCTTCTTTTTATATTTTAATTATTCTGGTATAGCTCCTAGAACACAGTACTTGAAGATTTATACTCTGATCCACGTGAAGGTAGGATCATCAAGGATGATGTTATACGTGGCTAATTGGGCATCACACTTTCTTTTGCAGATTACATGCCAGGCAGTACTCCAGTGTGCTGGGAAGGGAAGGGAGAGGGTGCATGGAAACCATGACTGTAGATCATGCTGTCCCTGTTGGCTCAGGGTTTCATCCACACATTAACAGCCCCAGGGGAAGAATACCATCCAAAGCCTTGGCGCTGACCCTGGTCTTGGATGCTGCCTAAGTGCTGGGCACTGTCCCTGAAGCCAGAGAGGGGATGTGTGGCAGCTGCCTGGGCATGCTTCCCTCAGTGAAGTTGCCAGGCTGAATGATCCAGTGGCTGCCAGCTCTGTGGAGAGGCTCAAGTTAGAGATCTCAGTCAGTCAGGGATTCTTGATGACAAATAATTTTTTGAGGAAAGTGTACAAAAACAGATGTTTAACAAGACCTGAGCATTATTATCCACTTTAATTAAGCAAAGGTACAGACGTGTCTATTTCAGCTCATCTTTTTAGGTATGGTCTTATAAATAAATAGAACTCCCCTATTGCGGGTTGCCTGACTTGCAGCCAGGTATGTGACCCTGAATTATAAGTTCCAGCAAACGGGTTAATAATAATTAAAAATAGCTAATTTTGCTTATCTGGCAACTAGTGACATTTCATGATTACAAGCCTTAAATTCTAATACAGTACAATTTTTTTCTTGTATATAGATTGCTTACACATTAAAATATCAAAGGCACTTTTAGGTTACATGATAAACAAAGATACATTAGTAGAGACAGGATTATTTATTGGTTCCTTCAGTTCCTGTGTCCTCGGTGATCACTGACAGCCCAGTTTTGCACTTCACCTTTGGCGAATAGTGTGAAGAAAATGGCACCAAATACATTGATAGCAGCAGCAATGCAGAAAACAGTTTTCCATTCTCCAATAGTGTTCTGCAGAGAAAGAGAGAAAAAGATGCAAATGCAAAAATATCTTGTTTGTAGTTCACTTTTTAAAAAAGATGGTGTCTCAAGACTGTTGTTACATAGCAGTAGCATTATTCATAAAACCTGGACAACACAAATTTCCATCGACAGTGAACTTGTGGCATATGTATTCAATGGAATACTATACAGCAATGAGAATGGGTGACCCACATCATCATCGATACAAGTCACCAAATGTTAAGCAAAAGAAGCCAGACACAAAAGACTTCTGAGTGATTCTATTGATATAAAGCCAATGAGACAAAGCTAATCTCTGGTGTTAAGAAGTCAGGATAGTGGTTCCTCTTGGTGGGGGTGAAAGAGAAAGGAAGGGATGCCTGACCACTGTGCAAAGGAGATAATGTTCTGTTTCTTGATTTTGGGTGGGCACGGGTTACATGGATGTTTTAACTTTGTGAAAATTTGTCCTACTATGTACTTAGGATTTGTGCATTTAAAAAATGCATGTTATACTTCAAGAAAAAGTTTTCTAAAAATAAAACATGGTGTGTCCTTGAATCATGTATTACTAGGAAAGTATTAGTATTATGTCAGCACATCACCTCCTAAGTTCTCATGTGGGAGGTGTTAAGGGCAGATCAAGTAAGGATGAGTTAAAATGGACTTTTAAGTTTGAGACCTGGCTTGAAAGATCCTGCAGGGCTCTTGAATGGGACTCAACACATGATATGGATGGGACTTGTCAGTGAGAGATCAAAAAGATACAGTGTGTAATCCAGTAGTACAAAAATATCCAGTAGTCTAATCATTATGAATTATGACATTTTTCATACAATAAAAATAATTTATGTAAAAAATATCCAGTAGTTACCTAAATCTCTGGGTCATGTGACTATCTTTAATAACCCTTATTTTTTTAAAATTTTCACAGTTTCAGCGTATCCAGAGTGCTACATTTGCAGCACTTAAAACGAAAAATAAAACAAGCAGCAGAACTGGCAATGAGGAAGAAAAAGGAAACCAGGAAGTTGGAAGCTGGCATGAAGTGATTTATTTAGGAAAAAAGGAAAAAGAAAGAAAGGAGCACTCTGTGGTTAATTATGCTTATCTGAGATGAATGTATTTTGGTGAAAAAAAATCTTAGAACTGCTTTTTAAATTTTAGGGACTATTTAGATATGGTTGCTAACAATGTGTTATCATCCTAGGGTAGAAGTCGGTCAGTAATTATAGTTATAAATCAGAGAGACAGGTTTAAGACAGCTTCTTAGGATTCCAAGACAAAGCTGCTCTGTGTGATCTACAGGTTGAAATAACTCTTCAGTGTTATCTGGAGGCAATGGGTGACTTAAAATCAATCAATAGTATCAGAAATTCACAAAGCTCCTAGTTTGCCTCTTAACAAAAAAGTTCCACTAGTTTTTAGAGAATACTGTTTTGTCTGTAACAAAACTGAACCTCAGGCATGCTCTGACCTTTTATTTCATTCTTTTTCTTCTTAACTTTTGGCCATGTCACACAGCTTGTGGCATCGCAGCTCTCTGACCAGGGACTGAACCTGGGCCATAGCAGTGAGTGCCAAATCCTAACCACGGGACTTCCAGGGAACTCCCTATTTCATCATTTATGCTCTGACTCATTCCACAAAACTTTTGTGGTTGTGCAGTAAGCTTTAATTGTAAGTAATTACAATTGTAAAGGCAAATGTGCTTTTCCTTTTTTTAAAAAAAATAATGGCCTTTTTGACTTGCCTGGTGGCACAGTGGGTGAGAATCCACCAGCCAATGCATAGGACACAGGTTTGATCCCTGGCCTGGGAAGATTCCACGTGCTGTGGAGCAACTAAGCCTCTGGGCCATGACTCCTGGGTCTAAGCTCCAGAGCCCTGGAACCGCAACTGCTGAGCCCAGGTGCTGCAACTACCGAAGCTCGCACCGAGAGCCCATGCTCTGCAAGAGAGGCCACTGCAATGAGAAGCCCATACAACGCAACAAGGAGTAGCTCCTGCCTGCCATAACTAGCAAAAACCCATGCACAGTCATGAAGACCCAGCACAACCAAAAATAAATAAAAGTATAAAAAATTAAAATAGTAAATTACAAGAATGGCCTTTTAATAATATTAAACAAATGCTTAGACAACATATCTGAAATCCAGTTCATTTCCACTTTACAAACATTCAAGACTTGAATTCAGGAGTCTGTATCTTCCCAGCAGAAGTGCCAAGGGCTATTGAGAATGTATGGAATTATTCATGGTAGTGTGATGACTTAGGTTCTTGTGTTGCCATAATGCTCCAGGAAGATAAGGCTAAACATCTGTGACCTGACCATGGTGAGACGTTCCAACATTCCTTTCCATTAAGTGAGAGAAAATCATAACAAGGAGGCACTGATTGGCTTGAGTAAGGAATTAGAAATGGTGGACAGCGCCACCTGCAGTGAACACACATGTCTGAAGTCAGTTTCTGGTAATAAGACAATTTGTAGGCATAGCCTGAAAATCCTAAGGATTGGATAGTGTTAATTTCATCACAGAGACAGAAAATTAACTCTATTTATAGAGATTTAAATAAGCCTCTTGAAGAATCCAATTTCACTAGTCCTTTACATTTTCTTAAACAGTAGGAAAAATAGAGTTTGAAAGGGCCTTTGAGGTTGCTGGATTTGGTTTCTTATATAACTCAGAGTCCCTGCTTAGTGATCTGGCCTTAGGCGGCCTTTTGGCTTCAGTGCAGACCAGCCCCGGGTCCACAGTGTTTCCGGGGCAGCGCCTGGACACTGGCGGGGGGCGGGGGGCCTCCCACACCCCGGCTCACCCCTACAGGCTCCATCGCCACAAACTGGCTGTTCCCTTCTCTGTGCCCACAGCACTCTGGACACATTTTTTTCTGCCTTTGTCACACTGTACTTTTTTTTTTAATTACATACAACCTTCAAGTAATGAGCTTCTCAAATGTAGAATTTGCAATTTTGCCTTCAAATCCTTTGTATCAGTCACATAAATAAGCACTCAAGAAGTGCCAGTTGACATAGGGAACTGATTACTTGCTAGATTGCTCTTTCCCCTTTTGATTCCCCCTCTTCTTCTGGTCACCTCTATCTCCCTCCTCCCTCTTCTCTTCTCCATGTAACTCTGTGAACCTCTCTGGGGGTCCCTCACTGTGGAGAATCTTTTCACCATTAACCTAGATGTTTTATCATCAGTGCTGTATGGATGGAGAAGTCTTGAGGCTACTGTAAGAATAAGACTGAAAACCAGAGGCAGGAGGCTTAAGTCCAAAACCTGAGAACACCAGAGAACTCCTGACTCGAGGGAACATTAATCGATAAGAGCTCATCCAAAAGCCTCCATACCTACACAGAAACTGAGCACCACCCAAGAGCCAACAAGTTCCAGAGCAACACATACCATGCAAATTCTCCAGCAACGCAGGAACATAGCCCTGAGCTTCAATATACAGGCTGCCCAAAGTCACACCAAACCCACAGACATCTCAAAACTCACTACTGGACACTTAATTGCACTCCAGATAGAAGAAATCCAGCTTCACTCACCAGAACACTGACACAAGCTTCCCTAACCAGGAAACCTTGACAAGCCACTTGTCCAACCCCACTCACAGGGAGGAACCTCCACAATAAAGAGGAACCACAAACTGCCAGAATACAGAAAGGCCACCCCAAACACTGCAATCTAAACAAGATGAAAAGGCAGAGAAATACTCAGCAGATAAAGGAACATGATAAATGCCCACCAAACCAAACAAAAGAGGAGGAGATAGGGAGTCTACCTGAAAAAGAATTCAGAATAATGATAGTAAAAATGATCCAAAATCTTGAAAACAAAATGGAGTTACAGATAAATAGCCTGGAGACAAGGATTGAGAAGATGCAAGAAATGTTTAACAAGGACCTAGAAGAAATAAAAAAGAGTCAATCAATAATGAATAATGCAACATGTGAGATCAAAAACACTCTGGAGAGAACCAATAGTAGAATAATGGAGGCAGAAGATAGGATAAGTGAAGTAGAAGATAGAATGGTAGAAATAAATGAAGCAGAGAGGAAAAACGAAAAATGAATTAAAAGAAATGAGGACAATCTCAGGGACCTCTGGGACAACGTGAAACGCCCCAACATTCAAATCATAGGAGTCCCAGAAGAAGACAAAAACAAAGGCCATGAGGAAATGCTGAAAACTTCCCCAAAATGGGGAAGGAAATAGTCACCCAAGTCCAAGAAACCCAGAGAGTCCCAAAGAGGATAAATCCAAGGCAAAACGTCCAAGACACATATAATCAAATTAACAAAGATCAAACACAAAGAACAAATATTAAAAGCAGTAAGGGAAACACAACAAACAACACACAAGGGGATTCCCATAAGGATAACAGCTGATCTTTCAATAGAAACTCTTCAGGCCAGAAGGGAATGGCAGGACTTACTTAAAGTAATGAAAGAGAATAACCTACAACCCAGATTACTCTACACAGCAAGGATCTCATTCAGATATGAAGGAGAATTCAAAAGCTTTACAGACAAGCGAAAGTTGAGAGAATTCAGCACCACCAAACCAGCTCTTCAACAAATGCTAAAGGATCTTCTCTAGACAGGAAGCACAGAAAGGTTGTATAAACGCGAACCCAAAACAATAAAGTAAATGGCAACGGGACCATACCTATCAATAATCACCTTAAATGTAAATGGGTTGAATGCCCCAACCAAAAGACAAAGACTGGCTGAATGGATAAAAAAACAAGACCCCTATATATGCTGTCTACAAGAGACCCACCTCAAAACAAGGGACACATACAGACTAAAAGTGAAGGGCTGGAAAAAAATATTCCACGCAAATGGAAACCAAAAGAAAGCAGGAGTCGCAATACTCATATCAGAAAAAATAGACTTTGAAATAAAGGCTGTGAAAAGAGACAAAGAAGGACACTACATAATGATGAAAGGATCAATCCAAGAAGAAGATATAACAATTATAAATATATATGCACCCAACATAGGAGCACCGCAATACGTAAGGCAAATGCTAACAAGAAATGAAAGGGGAAATTAATAATAACACAATAAAAGTGGGAGATTTTAATACCCCACTTATACCTATGGATAGATCAACTAAACAGAAAATTAACAAGGAAACACAAACTTTAAATGACACAATGGACCAGCTAATTGATATCTATAGGACATTTACAGAAAATTAACAAGGAAACACAAACTTTAAATGACACAATGGTCCAGCTAGACCTAATTGATATCTATAGGACATTTCACCCCAAAACAATGAATTTCACCTTTTTCTCAAGTGCACACGGAAACTTCTCCAGGTTAGATCACATCCTGGCGCCATAAATCTAGCCTTGGTAAATTCAAAAAAATTGAAATCATTCCAAGCATCTTTTCTGACCACAATGCAATAAGATTAGATGTCAATTACAGGGAAAAAACTATTAAAAACTCCAACATATGGAGGTTAAACAACATGCTTCTGAATAACCAACAAATCACAGAAGAAATAAAAAAAGAAATCAAAATATGCATAGAAAAGAATGAAAATGAAAACAAAACAACCCCAAACCTATGGGAAACTGTAAAAGCAGTGTTAAGGGGAAGGTTCATAGCAATACAGGCTTACCTCAAGAAACAAAAAAAAAGTCAAATAAATAACCTAACTCTACACCTAAAGCAATTCTAAGTTTAGAAAAAACATATATGATAGGCTGAAGTGAGCTGAATTTTCTGAAATATGTGTGAGTAGTATACGCGAAGGTGTTTAATATTTTAGTGATTGCCCTCTTAGTTAAAGGAGGGGGAATGAGTGTTTTCTTGGTAAGTGACAGTGGTGTCACAACATTACTTAATGCTACCTGTGATGAGGTCTCCTCAAAGATGAAATTAGTCTGAATTGCCACCTGGATGTTGGTTAGCTTTCCGCTTCTGTGTTTTAAGCATGAGTTAAGCTTGGGTTCCCTGGTGGCTCAGATGGTAAAAGTGTCTGCCTACAATGAGGGAGACCTGGGTTCAATCCCTGGGTCAGGAAGATCCCCTGGAGAAAGAAATGGCAACCCACTCCAGTACTCTTGCCTGGAAAATCCCATGGATGGAGAAGCTTGGTAGGCTACAGTTCATGGGGTCGCAAAGAGTCGGACACGACTGAGCGACTTCACTTTCACTTTTCACACCTAAAGTGACTAGAAAAGGAAGAAATGAAGAACCCTAGGGTTAGTAGAAGGAAAGAAATCTTAAAAATGAGGGCATAAATATGCAAAAGAAACAAGAGACCATAGCATAAATCAACAAAGCTAAAAGCTGGTTCCTTAGAAGATAAATAAAATAGACAAACTATTAGTCAAACTCATCAATAAACAAAGGGAGAAGAATCAAATCAACAAAATTAGAAATGAAAATAGAGAAATCACAACAGACAACACAAATACAAAGGATCATAAGAGACTACTATCAGCAACTATATGTCAACAAAATGGACAACTTGGAAGAAATGGACAAATTCTTAGAAAAGTATAACTTTCCAAAACTGAACCAGGAAGAAATAGAAAATCTTAACAGACCCATCACAAGCACAGAAATCGAAACTGTAATCAGAAATCTTCCAGCAAACAAAAGTCCAGGACCAGATGGCTTCACAGCTGAATTCTATGAAAAATTTAGAGAAGAGCTAACACCTATCTTACTCAAACTCTTCCAGAAAATTGCAGAGGAAGGTAAACTTCCAAACTCATTCTATGAGGCCATCATCACCCTAATACCAAAACCTGACAAAGATGCCACAAAAAAAGAAAACTACAGGCCAATATCCCTGTGAACATAGATACAAAAATCCTTAACAAAATTCTAGCAAACAGAATCCAACAACATATTAAAAAGATCATACATCATGACCAAGTGGGCTTTATCACAGGGGTGTAAGGATTCTTCAATATCCACAAATCAATCAACATAATACACCACATTAACAAATTGAAAAATAAAAACTTAGGATTATCTCAATAGATGCAGAGAAAGCCTTTGACAAAATTCAACATCCATTTATGATAAAAACCCTCCAGAAAGCAGGAATAGATGGAACATACCTCAACATAATAAAAGCTATATATGACAAACCCACAGCAAACATTATACTCAATGGTGAAAAACTGAAAGCATTTCCCCTAATGTCAGGAACAAGACAAGGGTGCCCACTCTCACCAATACTATTCAACATAGTTTTGGAAGTTTTGGCCACAGCAATCAGGGCAGAAAAAGAAATGAAAGGAATCCAGATTGGAAAAGAAGAAGTAAAACTCTCACTGTTTGCAGATGACATGATCATCTACATAGAAAACATGAAAGACTCCACCAGAAAATTACTTGAGCTGATCAATGAATATAGTAAAGTTGCAGGATATAAAATTAACACACAGAAATCCCTTGCATTCCTATACACTAACAATGAGAAAACAGAAAGAGAAATTAAGGAAACAATACCATTCACCATTGCAACAAAAAGAATAAAATACTTAGGAGTATATCTACCTAAAGAAACAAAAGACCTATACATAGAAAACTATAAAACACTGATGAAAGAAATCAAAGAGGACACAAACAGATGGAGAAATATACCGTGTTCATGGATTGGAAGAATCAATATTGTCAAAATGGCTATACTACCCAAAGCAATCTATAGATTCAATGCAATCCCTATCAAACTACCAACGGTATTTTTCACAGAACTAGAACAAATAATTTCACAATTTGTATGGAAATACAAAAAACCTCGAATAGCCAAAGTAATCTTGAGAAAGAAGAATGGAACTGGAGGAATCAACCTGCCTGACTTCAGACTATACTACAAAGCCACAGTCATCAAGACAGTATGGTACTGGCACAAAGACAGAAATATAGATCAATGGAACAGAATAGAAAGCCCAGAGATAAATCCACGAACCTATGGTCACCTTATCTTCGACAAAGGAGGCAAGGATATACAATGGAAAAAAGACAACCTCTTTAACAAGTGGTGCTGGGAAAACTGGTCAACCACCTGTAAAAGAATGAAACTAGAACACTTTCTAACACCATACACAAAAATAAACTCAAAATGGATTAAAGATCTAAATGTAAGACCAGAAACTATAAAACTCCTAGAGGAGAACATAGGCAAAACACTCTCCGACATAAATCACAGCAGGATCCTCTATGACCCACATCCCAGAATTTTAGAAATAAAAGCAAAAATAAACAAATGGGACCTAATGAAACTTAAAAGCTTTTGCACAACAAAGGAAACTATAAGCAAGGTGAAAAGACAGCCCTCAGATTGGGAGAAAATAATAGCAAACGAAGCAACAGACAAAGGATTAATCTCAAAAATATACAAGCAACTCCTGCAGCTCAATTCCAGAAAAATAAATGACCCAATCAAAAAATGGGCCAAAGAACTAAACAGACATTTCTCCAAAGAAGACATACAGATTGGCTAACAAACACATGAAAAGATGTTCAATATCACTCATTGTCAGAGAAATGCAAATCAAAACCACAATGAGATACGATCTCACGCAGGTCAGAATGGCTGCTATCCAAAAGTCTACAAACAATAAATGCTGGAGAGGGTGTGGAGAAAAGAGAACCCTCTTAAACTGTTAGTGGGAATGCAAACTAGTACAGCTACTACGGAGAACAGTGTGGAGATTCCTTAAAAAACTGGAAATAGAACTGCTGTATGACCCAGTAATTCCACTGCTGGGCATACACACTGAGGAAGCCAGAACTGAAAGAGACACGTGTACCCCAATGTTCATCACAGCACTGTTTATAATAGCCAGGACATGGAAGCAACCTAGATGTCCATTGGCAGACGAATGGATAAGAAAACTGTGGTACACATACACAACGGAATATTACTCAGCCATTAAAAAGAATGCATTTGAATCAGTTCTAATGAGGTAGATGAAACTGGAACCTATTATATAGAGTGAAGTAAGTCAGAAAGAAAAACACCAATACAGCATACTAACGTGTATAAATGGAATTTAGAAAGATGGTAACGATAACCCTGTATGCAAGACAGCAAAAGAGACACACATGTACAGAACAGTCTTTTGGACTCTGTGGGAGAAGGTGAGGGTGGGATGATTTGAGAGAATAGCATTGAAACATGTATATGTGAAACAGATCGCCAGTCCAGGTTTGATGCATGAGACAGGGTGCTCAGGGCTGGTGCCCTGGGATGACCCAGAGGGATGGGATGGGGACGGAGGTGAGAAGGGGGTTCAGGATGGGGAATACATGTACACCCATGGCTGATTCTTGTCAATGTATGGCAAAAACCACTACAATATTGTAAAGTAATTAGCCTCCAATTAAAATAAATAAATTAAAAAAATAAAAAATAAAATGGAAGAGAGGAAAAAAAAAAGAAGTGCCAGTTGAATATATGTTTGACTACTTCAGGGCTCACTAATTCACAGTGGTATTGGTTAGATTGCTAAGTTGTGTCTGACTCTCTCTTTTTTTAAAATTTTTGTTTTATTTATTTATTTTGGCCTTTCTGGGTCTTTGTTGCTGTACAGGCTCTCTCTAGTTGTGGCGAGTGGGGGCTACCCTCTAGATGCAGGCTTCTCGTTGTGGTGGCCTCTCTTGTTGTGGAGCACGGGTTCCAGGTGCATGGACTTCAGTAGCTGTGGTGCACTGGTTAGTTGATCTGTGGCATGTGGGACTGTCCCAGACCAGGGATCGAACCCATGTCTCCTGCACTGGCAGGTGGGCTCTTTACCACTGGGCCACCAGGGAAGCCCTGTGTCTTACTCTTGCAACCTGATGGACTGTAATACACCAGGCTCCTCTGTCCAAGGGCTTTCCCAGGCAAGAATACCAGAGTGGCTTGCCATTTTCCTTCTCTAGGAGATCTTCTCAATGCAGGGATTGAACCCACATTGAACCTGTGTTCTCTGCATTGCAGGTAGATTATTTACTTCCATCAGGGAAGCCCACCATGTCACAGGGAAGCCCATTCCACACAGTAACAGCTTTAAACAGGAAATTTGCTATTTATCTCCTTGTAACTTCTATCTGCTTTTGTGGAACTGTTGAGAGAAATCACCACCTTTTGAATATGTGAAGACATCTATGCATGCCTGCTAAGTCACTTCAGTTATGTCTGACTCTTTGTGACCCCATGGACTTGTATGTAGCCTTCCAGGCTCCTCTGTCCATGGAATTCTCCAGGCAAGAATACTGGAATGAGTTGTCACGCCCTCCTCCAGGGGATCTTCCCGACTCGGGGATTGAACCTGTGTCTCCTACACTGCAGGTGGATTCTGTACCGCTGAGTCACCAGGGAAGCCCACAGACATCTATACATCTTCCTAAATCTTCTGTTCTTCTAAATGTTCTTGATAATTTCAACTGTTTTTGTTCATTTGCACATGATTTCCTGATACCTTTGTGGTTCCACTTCTTGAATAATTCTACGCTGCCAAATTTATTTGTTCAAACCAAAGATACAAGTCATGTATCTGCTATAATATCACAACTTTTAAGGACTTGCGTGGTTTCAGTTACAAGATCTTCATTTAACTTTGTTCTATTGTTCTGTCTAAAATTCAGCATGTTCTTTGAAATATAGTTTCCCGCCTACAAAGGCATTTAGCTTTTCGTTGCTGTAAATAACTGCACAAGAATAGGCATTCAGCATTTTATCCTTATTAAATATACTCAACTTTGATATAGATGTGCAGCTTCAAATAAACTGTTTAGACCTTTTTGGTTTATAAGTAAGTTATCTACTTACCTCAGGAGTCAGACTTCTAGCAATGATGGGCCCAATCATTCCAGGAATAGTGGCAAAGGTATTTGTGATGCCCAGGAGAATACCAGCATACCTGCAGAAACATTTTTATAGAGGTTTATTAATGTGTTACACATTTTTTGGGGGCAGAGTGGGAACTGAACTTATCTGTACCCCTTGCAATGGAAGTGCAGAGTCTTAACCACTGAACCACCAGGCAATTCCCTGTGTTACACATTTAAGTAGCTTCTGTCCATAGATAGCTACATTCCCATGCTGTATTCTTGTCAAATTTTATGTCTCAATGCAATGTCTTACTGAAATAGGACTAAATAGTTAGCTGCTGAAAACCTTGTATTTCAATAGTTCTAACATCATATAGAGGAACATGGCCACTGAAATGATCCCTTTTACAGTGAAATGGAGATGTGCCGAGATATGATTTTCATACAAGATGGTATCTAGATAGGAAGCTTCATGTATCTTAAAATTTTTTAAGTTAAAAAAAGAATTTATTTCCAGATTACAAAATTTATGTCATTGTTTAAAATTTAAAATAAGAAAAATACAATGAAGAAAGTAAAATTACTTATAATCCTTCTATGTAGAGATAATCAACAGTAATATTTTGGTAAATATCCTAATTTTGTCCTGTATATATTTTGATATATCTAATAACATAACAATATATTATTATAGAAATGAGATATCAAGCACAGTTTCACAACTTATTTGTTGAACTTATTACATATCTTCCTGTAGCTAAATCCCTGCATATTGTCCTAGAAATAGACAAACTGAGTTTATAAATACTGTGTGTGTATATGACAAAAATGCCTATTGATAAAAATTCTTTTCAGAATCTTTATTGTCCTCAAAGCTGGTACTTCATGTTTTAAGAGGGAATCATTCTCTAATTCAAGTTTGCTAATTTTGACCACAGAGTCTCCCTGAAAACTCAGGTTTTATTCTCCTTTATAATTTCCAGTGCAACATATATGCTCATTCAATATATGCCGACCAGAGAAATGGTGTGTGACCCGAAGTTGTTCAGGTCCCATGCTTGGTCCCATGAGGCTCTGGCTGCACTGGCTGCTGGAGCTTTGTCCCCTGGAGACAAAGGGACAAAGTACCTTCTCCTGGGACTTGATTCCAAAGGATTATACAGTATGCAACATTTTGGATTACATGCTAGGGTTGCTGAACAGTATTCTAAGTTGTGTGTATTAACTGAATAACTTGGGATTTTGTCTTGTAACCGGCCCTACATTCTAAATTTTGTAGACTGAGGCATCATTTGATATAGTCCTATGTGGCTCAGACGGTAAAGTGTCTGCCGGCAATGCAGGAGACCTGGATTTGATTCCTGGGTTGAGAAGATCCTCTGGAGAAGGAAATGGCAATCCAGTCCAGTACTGTTGCTTGGAAAATCCCATGGACGGAGGAGAGTGGTAGGCTACAGTCCATGGGGCCGCATAGAGTTGGACACGACTGAGCGACTTCACTTTCACTTTATGTCCCCTGTATTTCCTGTACACTGGTAGTATCTATGGGCTTCTTTGGTGGGTCAGACGGTAAAGAATCTGCCTACAGTGCAGAAGACCCAGGTTTAATCCTTGGGTCAGAAAGATTCCCTGGAGAATGGAATGGCAACCCACTCCAGTATTCTTGCTGGAGAATTCCATGGACAGAGAGCCTGGCAGACTATAGTCCATAGGATCCTGGCAGACTTGAGATCCTAGAGGGTTCATTAGATTTAGGTTTGATATTTTTAGTATGAAAACTCAATGGTGGTGTTAGTTAAAATTAGTTAATTGAATAAATTAAGTTATTTTTTATAAAAGTCACCTGTGCTGTGTGCTTAGTCGCTCAGTCATGTCCGACTCTTTGCGACCTCATGGACTGTAGCCCGCCAGCTGCCTCTGTCCATGAGGATTCTCCAGGTAAGAATACTGGAGTAGGTTGACATGCCCTTCTCCAGGGGATCTTCCTAACCCAGGGATCAAACCCAAGTCTCCCTCATTGCAGGTGGATTCTTTACCATCTGAGCTACCAGGGAAGCCCACAAATACTGAAGTGGGTAGCCTATCCCTTCTCCAGGGGATCTTTCCCACCCAGGAATCGAACTGGGGTCTCCTGCATCACAGATGGATTCTTTACCAGCTGAGCTACCAGGGAAGCCCAAAAGCTACCAAGTTATATACAAAGGCCAATTAGAGCTTTTTAATGAGATAATCAGTGATATTATAAAATACAATTATGTTCAAAATTAAAGAAGCTTGGCATTTATTAGGCCATATAGTCTTACTGTGCGATGATCCTGTTTCTGTCAGGTTTAGGATCCTCAGTGCCTCAGCTGCAGACCGCTGACCTGAAATTCCTCACCCCAGTTTAGACATGGAAAAGCGCCTGCTATGGACAGAATCATGTCCTCCCCCAACCCCCACTTCCAATGTGACTGCATCTGGGGACAGGGCTTTTAAGAAGTAACTGAGGTTAAATGAGGTCATAAAGATAGGCTCCCAACCTAATAGGGTTGGTGGCCTTACCAGGAGAGGACGAAAGGCAGATTGCTCTCTCTGTTTCTGTGAGCTCCTATGGAGGAGAGGCCACATGAGGACATAGTGAGAAGGTGACTGTCTGCAAACCAGGAGGGGAGCCCTCACCAGAACGCAAACCAGCAGGCACCCTGACCTCGGACTTCTAGCCTGCAGAACTGCGAGAAGATCAATTTCTGTTTTTTAAGCTACTCAGCCACATAGTATTTTTATGGCATCCTGAGTCGATCAACACAGTGCCTAAATAAAGTATCCTGCTGAACCCAATTCAGTTATCTATAAATATCACAAATATTTATGCTGAAAACCGATGTACACAGTGCACAACAACAAAATGAAAGAGCTCAGAACTTTTTGGCTTAAGCCCTTTAGGGAGCAGATCTTAAATTAACCAAGCTTGGCAGAACTTGTCCTTTTTTTTTTTTTAAAGCATTAACACCTTGGCAGTAGGAGGAACTGACTGCAATGCTGCCAGGCCTTTTCAGTGACAGATATTAAGTGTAGATGAATGTTGTGAAATTCTAAATGTCAGCACCAAGAAGCTCATTCAAGTACTTATATTACACTGGGCAAGGAAAGGCCATGAAAGATTGATGAGAGCCTGGGGGAAAAAATTGCTGTATGGACTCAGTCTGGATTCTGTGCTATTGGAGTCTTAGAATTCTGTGGGATTAACAGTTAAAAATCTATTCAAATCTTTGAAATCTGAGTAACAAAATTATCCATAGAAAATATCTATTTTAGTCCACAGAAGAAAAGGCTTAGAAAATACCATGTCACATATATTTACATGCTAACAGGACTGACTGCCTATTGAAAAACCTTATGCCAGGCAGGGTTCTAAGTAGTTTTTATATCTTAACCTACTTTAACAGTAAAATGAACCCCATGAGGAAGGTTATCTTTACTCTATAGATAAGAAAGACTATAAAATGTTACTCAATTTGTCTGGTTCCAAATCAGTACTTAACATTGGAATGTTATAATCTATAATGCTGGGGCCTGTAGCAAAAAATTAAGCATGAGAAAACTGATCTTTCCTGCAGACTGAATTCAGTGATGACTGTTTTCAATAAGGCATTGTTACGGATATATAAAATATCCAGCAACAGAGGAATGGATAAAGATGTGGTACATATGTATAACGGACTATTACTCAACCATAAAAAAGAAAGAAAGAATGCCATTTGCAGCAACATGGATGGGCATAGAGACTGTCATACTGAGTGAAATAAGTCAGAGAAAGGCAAATATCATATGATAACACACGTGGAATCTAAAAAAAACGGTACAAATGGATTGACTCACAAAACAGAAATAGAGTCACAGATGTAGAAAAGAGATTGTTACCAGGAGGAGAAAGGAGAAGGATAAACTGGGAGACTGGGACTGACATATATATACTACTATATATAAAAAAAATAACTAGTAAGGCCGTACTATATAGCACAGAGAACTCTACTCAATACTGTATAATGACCTACATGGGAAAATAATCTAAAAAAGAGAGGATATATGGATATATATAATAGATTCATATACATATACAGCAAATTGATTCACTTTGCTGTCCAACTAATACAACATTGTAAATAAACTGTACTCCAACACAAATTTAAAAAAAATAAACTATAGTTTATTATTTTAATCTCCTTGAGAATAGAGTCTGGGTATGCCCAGGACACATACCACTTTGGACAGTAGATGCTCAATAAATAATCTGTTGAATACATTTTAAAAAATTATGTCTCATTTTCCCACAATTTATTGACTATTCACAGAGTAAGAGGGAAAAGGATGAACTATAATTGTTGATTGTGAAGATACTCCTCAATTGTGTAAGAAATACATCACTCACCCTAATGTCTTCCTTGGAACATAGTCAATTCTTATCACAGTTTCTAACTAATTATAATTACAATGCATGAAGGAGATCCAACAGTTTAAGCCATTTTAATAGTAAACACCAATTATTGCTGTCACCCACCCATCCATCCATTCATTTAACAAACAATTCTTAAATTTTATTTATTTATTTATTTATTTTTGGCTGAGCTGGGTCTTCACTGCTGCGTGGCATTTCTCTGGCTGTGGCAAACGGGATATTCATTGCAGTTCATGGGCTTCTCACTGTGGTGACCCATTTAACAAAAAATTCTTAAGTATGTCATTTGTGTCCACCACTACAGAGGACTCTCATGTCAAGTAATGAATTAAACATAGTTCTTGTTCTCAAGGAGCTTACAGTTTACTTAATGAGAAAGACTAGGGGTCAAAAATGTAATACAACCTAGTCACGTGAATAATGGGCTTCCCAGGTGGTTCCGGAGTATGTCAAGGCTGTATATTGTCACCCTGCTTATTTAACTTGTGTGCAGAGTACATCATGAGAAATGCCTGACTGGATGAAGCACAAGCTGGAATCAAGACTGCTGGAGAAATATCAATAACCTCAGATATGCAGATGATACCGCCCTTATGGCAGAAAGCAAAGAGGAACTAAGGAGCCTCTTGATGAAAGTTAAAGAGTAAAGTG